ATAGAATGCATAACTCGTTTTCTCCTTGTTTATCAGTCGAATAAAACTATTAAAAAATGATCGAACCTAACAAGACTTGATGTCTTTGGAGTATGGGTGGGGTGTGGGTGTGGGTGTAAGGAAAAGCAACCTGCATACAAACTGATACCCACACCCCACATCCTACCCATGTGTTCGAATGCGATCGAATTGCGACGCAGTTACGCGTAACTGCGATCGCACTGTGACCCGTAATTGCGGAAAATTGCGGCGCAGCTACGCGTAACTACGACGCAGTTGTTAAAAAAGTGGCGACATGGGTACACCCCACACCTACACCCATCCACATCCACCCACACCCTCACCCCACCCACCACACACCCATCCCACATCCACCACACACCCACACCCACCCCACAGCCACCCACACCCTTTCCACGTAATACGACACTTGAAACATGAAGTATTTGAAAACTCTAAATAAACGTTTATGTCACGTTGTAGAGCAAGTTTGAAAATGTAAGAAAATATTTTTTATTATTCAAGAAATTATAAACGTTTTGGACGGTAATACTACAATGACTTGGTCACTAATGGACGAACGAAAATGTTCGTGCAGAAAAAAAGAGTTTTCCGGAAGTGTGACGTAACACACGATAAATTAGTTGTTGATTCTGCTTTGAAAATCATTTTAAATTTTATCGAAATTGTAGAACTCAGTGAGTACAACACGTGATATAAAGGGTACGTCCCCATACTGAACTTCTAAGAGACTACGATGTACCATAAAAGGTATCCAATAATAACTGGAGATAAACTGAAATGGAGATTGATACCCGGGGACTCTTCCTCATTAGTACGTACATTATTATCCGCTCGTTGATGGAAAACGACATGAAACATAGTTTTTCTTTTCCTAGTAGACTACTACAAACCAGGATTAACAGTTCAATAAGTAATTTCAAGGACTCTGGCTTTATATAACACAAACACATAGCTATAATCTACTATATTTAATTTCTTAATTATTATATCGTCTCTTTGAAATGTATTTAAAACTCATCCATCGATCGATAGACCACCAATAGAATATAATAATAGTAGTTCTTGATCCTAAAGGAGCAAGTGAGCAGTGGTGCATTCAGAAGAAGGACGACAGAAACGATCGCCCCTAATCATAAAAATCCTCGATCCCATCACTGCAAGTGAGAAAGCTAAGAAATCGGCATCTTAACGCACGGCATGTAAATAAAACCATTTTAATACTTTCTTTCGATAATTCAATGGAAAGATTGTGTACAAGCATGTGCATAACCTATATCGAAGAAAGGGAAAAGGTTGAGAAGAGAAGATCCCACTAGGTATCATTCGTTAAGAATTGAAACCTTTTCTATTAAATTTACAGAAAGTATAATCTCAGCTCGATCCTGAAATTTTTGAGTTAGCAGAAAAACTATTCAAGAAAGCATTTATTGAATTGTATATGATGTAATAAAATCAAATGAAAGAAAACAAGATAAATATAAATATCCCATCAGGAATAGTGACGGTAGAATGGCATTAAAGTACTTTTAAATGGATATAATTTTAATAATGTGGAATCGATATAAATAACGTTACAAAACGGTTTGAGTTGTAAGCATCTTAATATCATTGTCTTAAATCACTTTAATATCTCCTATGGGAGACGGTTTTTAGGACTGTTTCGCATTATTAAAATGATGTCGATTGGAGAAGTATTTTAATGTCATTTTGCCATTTTTATCCCTGCTTGGGTAGTCTATAGATTGGATCAAAATGCACTTTTATATGGGTTCTCGACTGGCAGCGGTTGTGGCGTATCAGCTTGTTTTTTCAAAGGACGGTCTCGGCATGATTCTGCTGTGAAGAAACTTTTTATGTTGGGTATAAGATTGGTCATATGGAAACGAATTTCGGAACGATATTCCGATTTCCCATAGAGAAAGAGAAATGTCACGGCACGTACAAGAAATCCGATGAAAATCATCCAGAAATTGGGATTCTCACTGTTGTTAAAATCAAAGTTCTTAAAAATGCCTTCCACTGATGTTCCCCAGATGTGATCCTTCGATTCGAGTCCTTCCAGATAGAGTTTCGACTCATGTCGAAATAACAGACTTTGCACATGCCTTGAAAACGAAAGGACGACGATGAAGCCACCTTGATTCAGGTCCTGTTTTGTTGGACTAAATCCAGAGAGGAGACATGATAGAAGAGCTATGATTGTTCCGGCCAGATAAGCATATTCCGTTCGATTGAAGATCACCGATACTAATTGACCGATACCCGAACATACAAACGAGCAAAGAACCATTACACCCAAGTAGAAAGAAAACGAGCCACGAGGAACAATTTCAATATAGAGCATACTGAGAAATAACAATGGATAGAGTACCATTCGAAAAATATCGACCAGACTCTTGGCCAGCCAATATTGGAATGGATGATAATAATTGCGACTTTCTCGTTCAAAAGTTTGATCAGTAATTTCCACACCGAAGAGTCTCTGACTGGATATACAAGTGAGAATACCAAACGATAGAGTAATCAGAAAATAGATCGTTGTTAACTTGCTCATGTCACATGTCGCCTGAAATTTGTTTTCGAATAAGAAGCCAACACACGTACCCAACAAGAAATAAGCAAACATATAGGCGGCTTCAGCAATGACCCCACGAACGTAATTCTGCCGTATTGATCGCCGTAAGACGTAGTAGAATGGGTACCAAGCTCGTTGTTTCCAAGAATATGTCGTGAGAGGTTGATTGGTTTGTCGATCTTCTATTTGATGATTATCTACATGACATGTTGCATTGGTTAGCATAATGAAGCAAGTGTCACAATCATTATGTCGAGGTGGAGGAATCGATTGAGGATCAGAAAAGATCTTCTGTTTCAAAAAATCCTTTGCATGAGGTCGTGGACCTTGATAAGCTAGACAACACAATGGAGTTAAGAAGAAGATTTCGTCGATTTTCTCGAATAATTCGTGACTTGGTTGATGAATGACCGTAATGATTGTCACCGGACCAGCCTCACTGAACTTGATCAATTGCAAGAGATCGAAGAGATCATCACAAGAAACAGTGTCCAAACCAGATGTTGGCTCGTCAAGAAGCAAAACTTTCGGACAAGCGACGACTTCCAAAGCGACATTGACTCGTTTTCGTTGACCTATTTAAATGAGAGTGAACAGTGAAATGATCGAGTGATTCTTTTACTCTCACCTCCCGAAAGAGTCTTGGTGAAATTATTATGCATTCTTCCTAAACCAAGTTTGTCCAAAACGAAGCACACATCATTAATCAAGGTCTGTTTCGACTCGTTCAATCGCCGTGCACGGGCAGAGTAGTAGACAGTCTCGAAGATGGTGAGATCGTTGTGCATAATATCCGCTTGTGGTACATAACCGACGTAATCCGTCAATATGTTTGATAACGGCTTATGATCAGCAAAAGTAATGGATCCCTCTTTTCTCAATTGTCGTCGACCATGAATGGTTTCTAATAGACTGCTCTTGCCACAACCAGATCCACCCATCAGTGCTGTTAATTTGCCAGCAGCTATTCGACCAGTAAATCCCTCGTTCTTCTCTGGATCAAAACGGGTAACATTGCGGAGTCTAGCCTTTTCCAGATGAATATGAAGTTCAATGTACTTTTGTGGCCCATCATTAGGATGAGTTGCTTTTCGAAAATAATTACTCACACCGGGAGGATCGACGAGTTTATGTTTACCAAAGCATTCCCGCGTCAGAGACAACCATTCGAATACTTTTGTACAAATGACCAAGCCAATAATGATCGCAAGGACAGAAATCAGAACATTGGTGATGATTCGCTGTCGTCGAGCTCGACCTTCTAAACAGACGAATCCCGTTGGACAAGGTAATGGTTTGACCACTCCTGTAGGACAGAATTCAGTGCCATTCTTACAATGGATACTCTCTGCAGGCGACGGACAATACGTTCCATTTGGACAGAATCCCTCGAAATATGAACCACCACAGCCAAAATCACCGTACTGTTTTGGACGATTCTCAGGACAATTCACGGCTGTTCGGCAGGTGCCATTGCTCGCTAATAATTCACTAGGACAATATCCACCTTTTCGGCATGGAATCATACAAATTTGACCTTCAGGACAGAAATGACCAGGACAACATGCATAGGTTCTACTTTGGTCTACTGAGATGAAAAAGCCTTCCTGACATCGACTCCTGTGTCGACTGCATGCTTCAAAATTATAGTGAGTAAAAGTAGCATCTGTCGGTTTTGTATAGAATGCTTTGATTGTGTCGAGGGAACACAAGTTTTGACCGAGAAATATCTGATTGCTACACTTTTCTGCCGCTGAACACTCTGCATTGAACCCCCACTTCCGTTGATCTTTGTCCGGTTGACATTGAAGACATGAAAGACTACCGTTCAGACGTGTTTGATTTGCTTCATAACATTCTCCTTCGATGTAGCAAAAACCTGACATAATGGTACACATCGCTTCATCTATAATGCAGCTTCCATCACATTTCAAAGGAGTTGAAGGCGACGACCGTGCTGCTTCAATATTTAAATTACCGTCACCATTATTAGACGGAAGGCCAACGCTGCTTTGCACAAGAATCAGCAGACCAAGAACGATGTGAAGAAACGATAATATCGGAGACAGTCCTCCTTTTACTTCCATAGATATATAACGCAATTCTTAGACACGTGGACACACAGAATTTCTATATAGAAGATCAGTAGAAGAAGTTTATATATAGTCAACCATTTTGCTGACGATAGTAAATAGAAGACGCCTACAAGTGACTGTGATAAGATAAGTTTGTATATAGTGCATTGTTAGGTAAACTAAGATGATAACGCCAAGTTGATTCAACGGAGGTAAGAAAAGAAAGGAGTTTTGATCAGGGTGAGCGTATGAGAGTGAGGGTGGGTGAGGTGTGGGTATGTGTGTGAGGGTGACGGTGTGAGGGTGAGGGTGAGGGTGAGTACGAGCTACCACGACGTGTTTCACTGCTGCTCAGAGCAGATCATCAGGTGGCTAAGTCTCTAATTCGATTCAGTTTCAAAGCTATAGCCAAGAAAGAATCAATTCAAGACAAAATTTCACGGACACAGCGAAGTGTATTGGAAATTTCATTTTACTGTATCATTTTTTTTTGTTTTTGAGAAAATGATTACGCTTCGTTGATGTTCCAGCTTATGATAGTCAAATGGTTTCGGAATTTTGTGTATGATTAAATTTTCTTACATGTTGCATTTAATTTAATGTTATAAAGTAAGAATAAATCATAATGTTGTAGGCCACAATAGTAAGGCTATATAGGTTGTGTCATTATTGTTTTCTTTTTGAGGATGTGGGTGTGGGTGTGGATGTGGGTATGTGGGTGTGCGTGTGGGTGTGTATATACAGAACTACACCCACACCCACACCCTATTTTTAATATTCCAACATTATCAAATGATTATCAATTATTTGATTTAATGTATCATTTTGAATTACCATATGAAGAATGTCGTCGTAGGCGATTTGAAAGAACTTATTATCCACAACATCCAGAAGGTTATTTTGATGGACATGTTTGGCATGCTTATGTCAAAGCAAAAAAGGAAACTTTCGAACGATTTCATGATAAGAAAATTGTTATTGTTAATACAGCAGAAGAATCATTTGTGAAAATTGAAGAAAAAATTGTCAAAGATATTGAAATAGCATTGTATAAAAAATAAAATAGCAAAACAATTAATAAATATCATTTCACTATGCTCAGATATCAATATTATTGATTCATTACAATTCTTGATACTATATTTTCGCATTTTATTTTTATTAGAATTGAGTGATTCACATAAGAGTAAATAGAAAAATCGACATTATTACCTTTACCTGTGATATAGAGTATATTGCAGCTAATGCATTCAGACATCTTACTATATCATTGTACAATAACGACCTTAGAACTAGCATAGACAAAAGCATTGAATAATAAATAAGAAAAACGAAAGCTATTAGCACAATCCCTACGGGATTAAAATGTGAAACACGATGAAACTGTTTTCTTTTATCTTAAGAAGATAGTTTGAAGTTTGTTTATTTTTGGACACATTCGCATCTAATTATTTTAGTTTTGTGTTTATTCAATACAATCGAGAAATAGTTTGTACATCACCAAGTGGTAACATTGTTATTTAAATAGTTGTTATATAGTCTGAACTACAATTAGTAGGTATAAAAGAAAGTGATCTTTGAATTTTATATTGAAACTATGACTTAAAATTTTGTCTTTGATTGATATATTCCGATAAATCATTTATTTGTATTGAAATGAAAAAAGATAGTGAGAAAAGAACTAAACGGTTTAACTGTCTACTTTGTTCAATCTTTTGTTTTTTATTTTAAGATATTTACATTGATTTTATTAGATATAAAGCTGCAAGAGAATTTATAAGCACCAGTAATACATATTTATGCGGAGTTTGTTGTGTAAAATAAACGTTCATCATATAATGAATTATTTGTATCATTAAAATCGTAACATCTGATTTGACTCGACCAGAAATATAGTTATAAGTTCTTCGAGTTTATATGAGCTATACAACTTTAGTTTTGATCATTTTTATGATATATTATTTAATTCATTTTCTATATGATTGATCACAATACTACGTATATGCTTATTTTGTGGATTAAAAATAACGCAAACATTTATTAAAGACAATGCAAGTAAAACGTTTTCTTGAGAAAGCTCTTTGTGATTGCGCTGCTCTAATAATTCTTGAACTTTTAATGTATCAATAATAAGTTCAAATGATTGCCGATTTAAATCAATAATGGTTAATTTAATTTTGAGCATACTGTTCTTGATTTGTATGTGAGATATTTTATTGTTTTTTCATTTTTAGATGTGGGTGTATGTGGATGTCGGTGCAATTCTTCTTCAACCAACACTCACGCACACCCTAATTACAATATTATTAAATATTATTCGAGTAAGATAATTATTCAATGGAAGATGTTTACTACTAGTTAAAAGACCTAAAACAGACCAAGAATAATTATTAGTGAGATAAATCTTATCAATTAATATACTACTAATAAACAAGTTTTCATAATATTGAGAATAATAATTATATACCTCTGATGACCAGTTTCTTGTATTGTGAGCAAGAATAATTTTTAAAAGGCATTGCCTATTCAAAATCCGAGTTCAAAGTTCTTTTGACACGATTGGATAGATCTTGCCGAGTTATTTCTGAGAATATTCTATGTTTTTGATAGACTTGAACAATTTTATTATGGCAAAAATTAGATTTTCAAAAAAAAATCATAACATGATCAAGTCTGAACAAGTTCGATACTTCTGTAAAATTTTACTCGTTATATACTTAGGAAAAAATCTATGTGTACTTGGTGAAAAATATTGTTTGATTGTTGAATATGATAGCAGAAATAGAATGCATAACTCGTTTTCTCCTTGTTTATCAGTCGAATAAAACCATTAAAAAATGATCGAGCCTAACAAGACTTGATGTCTTTAGGGTATTTTAGTTTTCATAGACTATTATGGAATTCTTCTCGTACTTTAATTAATCGTTCATATTGTCTAGTAGTGTTCGGCATAGGTCAAATTCTTGTGATCCAATCCGAGTCGGACATTACTATTGGATTGTAATTGCAACAGTGATGGACTAGTTTAATTTCCTTGCATTACATTAACTCATCTATACAGAGCGTTACTTTCGTTTTTGGATGAACTATTTTTTGATCAATTCAAATAGTGTTTTTTCATATAACTTTTATTTTTTTCTAACGAGTTTTAGAAAATCTTATACTAAAACAATGGAATCGATTCATACGTTTAACAAAAAAAACGAATCCTCGCTTTTATGTTTATGTTAAGGTAATTTTATTTCATTGAATAGATCATGTAAGAAATAAAAATAATTTCAAATAGATTTGTAAACACAAGACTCAATTAGGTAAACAACATTTAGCTACATTTAATCATACAACCTATTCAACGTGTACTTAAATATACATCAATAACATAAATTGATTCATTGGATTAATAGTATTGATAATTGTCGAGTAAGAAAACGATTCCGACACTATTAAGTACATATAGTTTTTGTTAAATTTTAATCAGAGTTTTTTGCTGCATATTGCAATTATATAGAAATATTTCAAGTTATTGAACTTTTACGAGAATTGACAACGATACGAACATATTTAACTGTTTCTTTTCTCCGATTGTCTTGATTATATGTGCTAAACATCCGGTATGAAAACATACAAACATATTGCACTTGTTCAATTAAGCAGTATTCAAAGTTTATTTGATATTAATCTATTATCATTAACAATTGATGGTAAAATGATTGATCGTTTTTGTCTTATTGTAAAACTTACATTATATTTTTTTTCCAAAAAAAAAAATAATGTGAGTAGAAGTTTTAGAGATATGCGGAATGAAAATTGAAAATCTTGCCGGATTCTTACTCATAATATTTTCATTAGAATCTATTTCACACTTCTCATAACATCTTGATGATGGTCGTTCATGAATGAAGTCATTATAGGGTTTTACCTTAAGAGTAGCAACTATGAGAGATCAGAACCGTACCCAACGAGCTCTATCCGAAGGATGTGGATGTGGGTCGAATAAACACACCTACATCCATACTCTTGTCTGTAAAAGTTTTTGTCCCGAAAAATTACATGAACTGTCTAGTAGTGTGAACCAAGACTAAAAATGAGAAGAATGATTACTCGTTTTCTTTTCTGCTACCTACTTTGATTTTTCGTGTTCGCTTCTACAACTAAAATGCCGCTTCTCATTCTTTTTAACTTATCTTAAATATTCCCTCGTCCTTTTTTTCTCTATATCGTGCAATGTGCGCTTTCATATGAAAAGAAGACACATGATATGTAATAGAGATGCTGTCAAGAGCGAAAAGAGTAGAAACAAAAAGATAATGAAAATACAAAGATAAACTATTCATATTTCTCTTCAGCTCGCCACAATTGACTCCTGTTTTGAAACAGTTCATGAACGAACTCAGCTATAATGGGTTTTGCCATTAGGCGCTATCGGTTATCGGTCGTCGTTGACTTTTATCTAAATGTACATTTGTATGTCCATAAGATCATTATTCATGAAAATGCAGCATACTCCAGTGTAGTCAATGACATTTATCTATCGTTCCCTTTGCTTCTTATCTGCTTGCTTGCACAAGATATTAATATATAGGCAAGCGAACAAGAGAGACAGAAAGAATACGTGTACATTGATATATTAAAACTATTATTAGTCGCACAGTTCAAATGGCGGATGGCAATACTTTTTCCCTGGCAAACCTCACGCTGAGCTACGTTCACCATGCATCATCACGTCCGTTCCAATATAAGACTGTTGCTCAGAGTTTCGACGAGCTCGCTGTTCGATACCCTGATCATGAATGCTTCATATTTAAAGGTATAGAATTGACATCTTTGAAATTCATTGAAAAATATTTTCAGGTAACATCATTTGCAATTTATTCTAATCTAGGTGAAAACAAGAGTTACACATATGGGGCTCTTAAACATGACATTGATTGCATGGCTCATTCCCTTCTCGAACTTGGATTCGAAAAGGATGATTATCTAGCCGTCTCACTACCAAGTATTTCAGAAAATGTTGTACTCACTTATGTTGCCTCAAAACTCGGTCTTGTCAAAGTATTTAACGTTACATAAAAACGATCTATGATCGAAGGCTAAGATCCCATTCTCTTTCATAGGTCAGCATAAATCCAGGTGCCACGAAGCGTGAACTGGCATACATTCTGAACAAAATCAACTGCAAAGGTATCGTAATAACTTCCACCGACGTCGCGCTCAACACATTACAAAAAGCAATACCTGATCTTAACAATGAATCGTCCAAGAGTGCACTTACCCTCAAATATATAATTCTGACTGGCTCGAACAAGACGACATGTACTATTCGTGATACACATTCGTACAATGACTTGCTCAAGCAAGGTGATATCAAAGAGGCTGAAAACAATCATGCACTTCATCAACGTCAAGCATCGATCGATCCTGATTCACCTCTATGCATTCTCTTCACCTCGGGATCTACGGGCAATCCAAAAGCAGTGATTATCACAAATTTTGCGGCCCTCAACACTGTGTTCTCGCATTGGGATCATTTTGGCACGTCCTTATCACGTTACTGTGCACCTCACTCCATGTTTTACATCAGCACAAGTATCTGGGGTATTCTTCTGGTCGCAGTGAACAAGTGCACTGTTGTTATTCCGAATATTGTATTCGACGTAACAGCGATTATGCGTGCAATTCATGAGGAAAAGTGTACAAGTATGGCAGGCGTCGTTTTACTCTTTCGTGAAATTCTTGCACATCCTGACCGGCACAAGTATGATCTGAGCTCGCTGGAATGTGCCATTGTAGGTGGAACAACTGTACCGCCACAGCTAATGCGCCAGGTTGAGACAGAATTAGGTATTCGTCGTACATGTCAAGCATACGGGATGACAGAGTCTGGATGTTTTCTGAGTAGTAGTCTCTATGTTGCTGGTGACGACGATCGACGATACACATCAATCGGCCGATGTTTGCCGCATCTTGAACTTAAGATAGTCGATAATGAAGGTCGAACAGTGCCGATCGGATGTGAAGGAGAAATATGGGGTCGAGGTTATTCAATCATGCGTGGTTATTA